ATGAAGTTTCATGCAGGCATTACATATTCATTTATACTCGGAGGACAAAGTTATGCTTTACGAACGTTGCAACGAGAGCATTTCATAGACATGGACCATATACCTGGTTTTTGAAAACCTTATTTAAAAATTGTAAGAAATATAAAAAATTAAAGGTTACTCTTACCTTCCACATCCACAAGTCCACAACCCTTATTTTCAGTGAATTCAATCCCTGTGGCATTTGCTGTGATAACAGCAATTGAAGTCTTTTTCTTGCAGCCAGTTGTTTGGCTTTGGCAATCAAAACATGCTGAGAAAAAATTTTAATCGACATGATAGCTCTATGTGTCTATCCCCGCCTATGAAAAAATTTCCTTTCTCTATATCTATACGAAAAAATTTTAGAGAAAAAATGAAGCATGTAAGTAATAAGTTAATTTTTGGAAGTAAATACATGAAATTTTGCTTGACAATATGTATATGTACTCTTGCAATTGTAAGCATTTGGTCAGTGATAGCTATCGTTCTAATGTTCCGTTGGATGTTTAATTCTTCCCTTTCTCAGTTCTTCCTACAAGAGTTTCCTTATAAAGTTTTTATAGTACATAATTGAATATAAACACCAAACCGTTTACATTGAAACTTATTTTATAACTTTGTTTATGAAAAACAAAGAGTCTTTATTCTGGTATAATGACCTTTGTACAGTCTTACGTAAATTGTACACACTTAATTTGAAATTACTGAACAGGAACACTGTGAACTAGTAAGGAAGATCGAGCAAATTCATGTTAAATGGACGCTAGCATTTCACGTGAAATATGTAAGTAGCATAGAGCACGTGCATGCTGACTTATATTATAAATCGTACGCATCACATCCTATAGATTGTCGAATTCTACAATTATTGGCTTTCTGAAAAAATCCAAAACATCAATAAAAATTACCAGAATAAAGTAGAGAAATTGGAAGATTATTTTGTTGCTCTTTCAGATATTCAATCGTGGATGACGTTTTGGATATACACGGTTTTATTTGGATACACGTTAAGAAGGTACATGTATCAGTAAAATATTTAAGCGTTTTTTAATTTATCAGGATGTTAATGCCCGGCAGTCAAATTTAGCAGAGCTTTGGTTTCAAAATATGCGATTGTGCGTGGGCAAATGAATTATGTGACCAAATTGTCGTATGACGCACGCGAAATTTCAAATTACTGCATATTTTTGATTTTACTAACGTGATATTTAGCAACTCAATATAGATGTCGGGAATTTATAGCAAATCATTGCCTCTAAAATCATCAGAATCTATCTTGAGTTGATTTTGCCTTAAAACTAAATAGGTGTTAAAACCAGAACAGTCATAAATGTTTTAATCAATGAAAGACAACGTCTCTTCTAGCGCAACACAACCACACAATTTTAGGGGGGGAGTAGCTAAATTTTAAAGGTTTTGTTGACTATAAATTAACAAAAATCTCTTATTATTCATGCTAGAATGCATGGAAGCTTTAGCATCCACAGCACAGTCTAAAACTAAAAATTCATGTGTCCCTCATTACAAGTATGATAATTTCAGGAAATTTCAATACGTTAGTTTCGACTGACACCATGAAAAGTAAGTTACTAAAAGTTTTAAATAATGAAGCTAATTAACTAGTTTGGTCTTCTTCTAGTAGTTTTTGATAGCGGGATCTCTTTATAGTTCTCGTCAAAAATTATAAAAATTTCATTGATCTCAAATATCAACCACCTTGAAATTGCGAAGGCAATCTTAAGCCCGGTTTCCATATCATCGTTCCTGTCGTAAGGATCGTCTTTGTCGCTTGCAATTTGTAGAAGCGACGGAGACGATCATATGGAAACGCTCAACTCAAACGACAAAAGCGATCCTTACGTTAGAAACGATCCTTGCGTATCGATCTTTGAGATAGACTAGAGTTCTATCCTTGCGACAGAAACGACCGGAAACACCTTTTACGCGCTTGCATTTTTTTAGTGGAAAGGGGTGCAAAATGATCGTTACGCCATAAGCGACTTAATATATCCCATGATACATCCGTAATTCCACGTACTTCTTGAGCAAGAGTATGAAAAATTCCATGACGTTCTCTTCTTTGAAACAAGGGACGAACCCAAAAACGATGTTTTCTTTTTTGCTTTCGCTCTCGCCTTCTTCTCAGCACACGCAAAAGAAAATAACACGCTACAAGTCTTCCTCTTCGATTGACTGCCGCCATTTTGAATACATCATACAGCAAGTGTTTGGTGACTAGTTCAAATTAGATACGATGCATACGATTAATGGAAACCAGTTCATCGCAATAATCGCTTCTGTCGTTTGTTCACCGCAGGGGACTTTTTCAACAGACAGAAACGACTCTAGCGAAAGAAACGATCATATGGAAACCAGGCTTTAATGCCAAAGCTTTTGTTACGCGTAACTGCGTTCCCGCTCTTTGTCCTCAAAATATTGAATTATTATATGTCTTCACGCCTAAAAATGCGATGGATGACATCTGGCGTTTTTTATACTATTTGAACAAGATGCCATGGTAATTTTTGCTGTCAATCCAATCTGTGATTCCTAAATTTTTAAAACGCTTGTATTCTCCTCTACGAAACAATTGGTCGACAATTTTTTTGTTTTGCATGGTTTTCCTACATAGCTTACCATTGAAGCTTTCCCAAAATATGGACAGTAGCTTGCTCAAGTGATCTTGTAGTATCTCAGGATCAAGAAGCTTTCTTTTCAATGGAAAGAAACTCGACTTAAATATATAGCGTCCATATACGTTAAATGCGTAATGATTCCAATCCTTATGGTTGGTCCCATTCATTATGCGACTTTTCTTAAGCAGCTGGTTTGTCGGTTTCTCCTTAGCTTGTTCATCCTTTGAGTAAAGTTTTAAACCAGAAGTTTCGTTTGAAAATACTGTGTTTTAAACATAGGGTAATCTATTTTACGTTGTTAAAAAGTTCAAAGTTATCTTTCGCTTTCGAGAAGGTCTTGACCTCTTCTAATATAGAAAAATGTAAATTTTCGATTTCCTATGAGAATTGATTATTTATGCTAATAATTTTGGGCGAGATGTAATAAATAAAATTAGTATTTGCAACTATGAATTTCTAGCAACTTCAATTGTTAATGCAATGATCATGCCGTACTGACCAACTTTCTTGGAAAGTAATACGAATATGAAAAGTTGCACTGTTTTGTATTTAAAACGTAGCAGCATGTTCTAATATCGTGGCAACATGAAAGCGAAAGTGAAAGTGAACGCAAATGTTTTATTTTGTTTGTATGTTAAATAACAGACGTTGCATGTCGAAATTAGCATACTTTTTGAGCATGATGATATTCAAGAGCTTTTAGAACAAAATATTAAACACATGAACTCGTTCATGTTAAAGTTACATGTGTTCGTGCGTTACAAATTGCTTGTCTGAAGTATACGGTGAACGAAAGCCATTTGATTCAATGACTGAGATATTGCTTCTCCTAGACAATTCTTAGAAAATTCTTAGACAATTCTTAGGAAAATCTTCCTGCTATTAAAACGCTTTATTTTTGTTCCTGTCGCCGGTGGATACCACATCCATATTCCTTCGTTATCTCTCGTCACGACGCTGTTTCTTTGCGGTATAAGTGCGTATTTTGAAAATTCATCCTTCTCTGCGCTTTCACTGCATACTAGAACGGTGTGCATTACTTTTACCGTGTATGCAAAAGTTCTCAATATTCTAAGCTCGATTTTCTCGGCCCTGCAAACATGTTGTTTATAAGACTAAACTAGCTCATCAATTGAGTAAATAAAGCTATGGGAACATTTTGACCTTGAATGCGAATAGTATATGGCAAGAATGCATCAGAAGTTCCAAACTGATTCTTAATCACATCTATGTCATGCATATTATTCACTTCCAAGAAACAATTTTTCATGTGATCTTGCAGATTACGGACAGCATTTTCGTCGAATATTGGACTCCACCAAGAGAGATAAGAATATACGCTCCGATCACTGGTCTCAATAATCTTCTTTTTTCCGCCCAGAAATCCTTTCGATCTAATTATATCAGCTTCTTTACTTGTGTGATGTGCTAGGTTTTTTATTAAGATTGCATATCCTTGCTGTTTGGCAGAATCCAAAACTATTCGTTCGTTTGAACTAAGTATTCTGAGATCAATAGCTTCTAAGAAACAATATCTCATATGATATTGCAAATTTTGGGCAATCTTTGGAAGTAATATTGGTCTACACCAACAAAGATAGCTATACGTTTCCGTCCTACTCAACGTGCCTCTCGTTAATCATCTCTGTCCCGTCTTTAAACTATTTAGATCCAATTATGCCGTCCTTGCTTAATGTGCAATGTACCAGATTTTTGACATGGCTTTGATATCTTCACTGTTTGGCATCCAGCAAAACTTCTGTTTGTCTTGAGGAAGTTTGCTGAGATTTGGCTGGTCGCTGTCATCTGGATAAGAAAAAAGGATTTGTAATCTGAGATGTGGGATGTGCTTCCACTTTCCATTGAATCCCTAATTCCATTCGGGATTCTATCACTTGCTTTGCTGAACGTGTCTTCCTTGGAAAATACGTTCTTTACCCTTCTTCCTTATATCGTCTATCCATCACACGAACCCTGTTCTCTCGCACTTCCCGGGACTTTGATCATTTTAAGATGAAGATTTCAGTACTCAATTATAAGAAAGAAACAAAGGTGCCAAATAAGAACAAGCAACGCCCTGAACAAGAGAGAGTAAGAACAAAAACGAAAGACCAACATTTCGCCTGCCCTATCATGCGAATACAACCTGAAAACGACTGCTTCTGTCTTAAATGATGAAACATTGTAACAAAAGATCAAATAAATCTTACTGCTATCATTAAACTTAAGTTAAAATAAGCAAACCTGTCTGGGGGCGCTTTTGTAAAGAAAACAATATTTCGTTCCACAAATAGAAAGGAACGGTTGTTGTGGGCACAAACACCATTAAGGATGGAATGTAAGGCAGTGGGATCAAGTTTTATTGTATGATATGATGAGTGAAAATTTCATTTTGCTGTAAATGGAAGATTTTTGTATAAAGAATGCCAAGTAAACGAGATGGGTGACTGGTGGGTGGTTCTGTGCTGGTATAAAGAAGTAGCGATTTCGACTCCACCAAGACTGGAACACTACAATCCTATTGAAATGGACAGATATGGAGTTGACGGATTTCTTGCAGGAAAAGAGAAAAAACCATGGACTGAACTTAGTAAAAAAGACAAAATTGCCAGTAAGTTGTTGATATTTTATCTGATAAATTTCACTTCTCTTTCACTTGAAAACGCCAAAATATTTTGCCTTTTTGTGGGAGAGATCAAAATAGTTCAAAGTTCATACACAGGATGCTTAAAGTTTTAAATATTCAGTTTCATTGATTTTAGTATACAGAGCCTCGTTTCTTTACACAATCGAGGCAATGAACAACACAGGAGAGTATTATACCAAAGAAATTGTTGGTGCTGTCGCCATGTTGTTGGCATTATCAATGTCATTTTTCTTGTTTCTGCGGAAATATGGTAAGAAAACTATATGTAGTTCTTTCTGGTTGATGTTCATATTTTATATTGTTGACATCATTAGGTTTGATGTTTGTGTTTCTGTATGAAAAGGACTAGAGGGAAAATTATTTTTTGATTCACATTGATAGAAGCGATGTCAATTTGTTTTTAAAGACTAAAGCCAAACTAGAATGAGGTGTCTTGAAGTAAAACCCATTCAAGTGTAATGTTTAGCACTTAACCAAGTCATCGTTTAAGATACACACTTCAATACACAACATTATCTAATAATCTTCTAAGATATACACTTAATTATACAACATTACTGTCATGACACATTTCTCGACATGTACATTAAAGCTGCATTTCTTTTGTTTGTCAAAAGTGTGAAATTTTTACATGTGAAAGCAATGTTTTGAATGTGACTTCATAAATTTAAACATTAATGGTACTCAATGCATTTGAATTTTATAACTGAGAATTGTAAAACATATTATTACAATGTTTGTTGCGATTCAATAATGAAATTCTCTTCTACTCAAGAACCCTACTGTGCCTACTCTTAGGCCTTTTGTACTTTGAAAATTCTAAATGCTAGCAAATAACTTGATATTATAGTACTTACCTGATCTTTGGAATTGACTTAACTGCAAGCATATCAATACACATGTAAGAAGAAGGACCCAAGAAAATGATTTTTTTTCAATTTCTTTGTCTTAGATGGATTAGTACAAAACGTGAATGTCCTTGAATTTAAATTGGAAAATTCAAAGCCTTAAAAGTACTTCAATTTAATAAGATGTGCTTGAAAGTGCTCGAGTTCAAACATTTTTCTCAGTACCGGTGTTTTCTTTTCAAAAGTTTAGTTGAAATTGTATTTTAAATCCTTTATTGCAAAAAAATAACTATTGTGCTAAAGGGTTAAAGTGAGAAGTTTGAAGTAATCTACCAACATAGCAGTTTTCAAGTCATGAAAACACACCATTTGCTCTCGATTCATTGCAAAAAGTTCTTTTGTTTTAATTTCGATCATGGTTTTAATGATTTCTTTCAAACTCTGAGTGTGACGCTTATGAGATTACCATACTGGCGACCATTCGTTCTTAATTTCTCACCTTCGTAAACAGTCGTATAGGAACGCTGGCATTACGTCCATTACTAATTTATTAATACTGTGATATGTTTCTGTGCGTCAAAAATCACACAATTCTATCGTATTTGGAAGAAATAAATTAAGAACTCGGTATTTGTTATCTACTATCCTTTTTGAAAAAGAGATTATTATAAAGTGCACAATTGTCCTTTTAAATCGACTTTAAACACGTCGTTTGGACGCAGATAGAATGCAAAAGCCACGTTTTCCCAGAGAGCATGCTCTACATCATCCTCATCAATTTTGGAGAATCTTTTGAATCGTTTGATTTTCTTTCTGGTCGTTGCCTGTGGATACCACATCCAACGACCATTATCATCTCTTGTTATGATGCTCCCTTTCTCTGGTATTACTGGATATCTGGAAAATTGCTCATGACCTTCTATTCCTTTGCTCCATACTAGGACGGCGTGCATTATTTCGTTTTCGTAGAGGAAGGTCCCAAGGATAATGAACTGGACATCGTTTTCCAGTCCTATGTAATTTCTATAGTGACGTAAAATTGACGAGATGGGAAATTGAAAGTAACATTTCCTATGGCGTTTTTTTCTTGTTCGAAACGCTTGGGATGTTGCAAACTGACTTCTTATGCCATCAAAATCGTCCACCCCTGTCTCAGCAAACTTGGACAAGTGTTTGCTTAAGTGGTCTTGCAGTTTTTCGGGGACATCGTCAGGGAAAACTGGACTCCACCATGACAGGTTGGCAATCACATCTCGCTTTCTTTTCATGTTTATTTTCTTCTCTTGACCTCGAAAACCTCCGTCTTCAATGATCGAATTCGAAATTTTTTCACTCGTGAAATGCGCCAATTTCTCAATGGGAATACCATAGCCTTGCTGTTTTGCTTTCTGCAAGGCGTTCCACTGCGTTTGACAAACGCCTTTTTTCCATAATTTTGTCATATTGATGGGATGAGGAAAAGGGCATTCATAATCAGAAATGTAGTCATAACGACGTTTTTTCTTGCTTCGTAAGTCTTTGGTCAAAGCAGAACACCATTCTATTTGGGTCAAATGTCTCTCTGGGCAAATGCGTTCTTCACCTTTCTCACCTTTTTCCCCAATTAACCACTTTTTCATTGTGCCGTGCTTTCTCTTCATTGTAAAGAAGTCATGCGCAGAAACGTCTCTACTTTCAATAACGGCAAACCTTTAAAAAGTAGTCAATAACATCAAATTTATCGTTAGTTTGACGTAACTCGAGTTTATGACTTTACATCCATGTTCATTCAAATAACCGTAGCGAACGTATCAAACTCAGAATGATGGTCATATAAATTACGAAAATAATTTGTGTTGTTCAAATTTGTGTTATGACGTCAGTTTTCCTTAACTTTACATAACGATTTTTTATTTGGGGACAAGACGAAACAGCTCTAGATCTTATTTTTTAATGTTGTATTCTGGAAACCGATATATAGGCTATAATAATTTAATATAATGTATTTATAACGATATTGAAACCTGTGACTTTCATGTTTAGTATGACTCTGTGGTGAGTGTGGTTGTAAATGTAAAGGTACTCGTATTTGTGGAGTGTACATGGACATGTACAAGTTTGAAAGATTGTTTTGAAGTTTGGAAATTAATATGAATTTTGTTGCCACTATCGGAAATTCACTGGTGTAAACCTTGCAACTCAGCAACCAACCTCAGAAAATTTGGCAAAATTTGTGTGAAATCAACTGTAAAGCGGCCATTATTATGCACATTAGGACTATAGACATACCTCAAATTAAACGACTATGATCGTAACAATTTCCTTACAATTTTTAAGTTAGAGTCATGGAGGGAAATTTTAGAGTCGTCAGAATGTTACCGAGTTTGTAGAAGCAGAAATATTGTCGTTAATTAGGTTAATGAATGGAATTTATTTGTTTTTGTTACGTTGACATGCACTTCTTATGTCAGACGTCATTTAGTTCTTTACCGAGACTTTTATCTTTGAGCTGGTTTGTTTTGTTGCTGTTTACTGTTTAGTTTTCTGTTTGGGTGATCTTAATTTTCGGCGATTATTGCGAATGAGTCTGTTTTCTCATAGTGCAATGAAAACTTTATTTACTTGAGTTTTTTTAAAAAAACTTCAAAGGAAATCGCGTAAAATGCTCTTGGATCGTTCATAGTATAAATTATATTATTACCGGAACATACCTTTGAAATTGAGTAATCGTCGAAATTATTTCACGAGCAATAGATATAGGCCAGTTATTACTTTCTCATAGGGTTACAGTAAAATAACACAATCGTCATGTATGAATGCTACAATTATATAGTAAATCAAATACTTTAAATTCTATCAATTTAAATTTTAATACATGTAAAGAATTGCTATAGAAAAGCTCCATAGGATTAAATAGTCATGCAAATAACGCAACAACCGCTTACTACAATAAGAAACTCTTAAAATTATCTTAATCCTGAGTACTTTTTAAACATATTTTTGTAATTTTAATCTAAAATCCATGCCCAAACCCCAGTGATATCAAAATTACACCATTAGACACCAGTTGTATTCGAATATTGTAGGACATAAAACGACTTCTAGTTGCTGAATATACATACATATATACGTACACATATTCATATTTGTGTGTTATTATGACGATGTTACACAATATTTGTATATTAGAGGGGTTTTTGTAATGTTTGGTAGCAATGAAATTGGTCTTTATCACGGATCGATTTGCTTTTGTATGCATGTATCTATTGGAAAAAAGTATTGTAATTTTTATTGTTGTAAGGATAGTTTTAAGTTTCCTGCGTGAAACATCAAATGTTGCTGTAAATGAAAAAACTTCTTTCTTGCCTTTATGAATCTTTCAGAAGATTTGGCAAATTTCACCGTAGTCTAACTATTGTACTCTCTGTCATGTTTAACAACAAACACTCTCTGTTTAAAATTTTGTGCTTATTATCACTTTGAATTGCATTCGAAGTCCTACTGTTGTTGGGTATTTCATTGGTTAACAATATATTTATATCTATATACAATCGCATCCTCAACCAAATTAATGCTTTTTGTCATCTGTTCTCTGTTATTCCTAAATTTTTAAAACGTTGCTATTTTCCTCGACGAAACAATTGGTCAACAATATTTTTTGTTTTGCATGGTTTTCCTACCTAGCTTTCCATTGAAGCTTTCCCAAAATTTGGACAGTAGCTTCTTCCAGCGATCTTGTAGTTTCTCAGGATCGAAACTGTCTCGAAGTTTTATTTTCAATGGAAGGAAACTTGACTTAAATATAAAGCGTCTATATACGTTAAATAACTAATGATTCCAATTCTTATGATTGGTTCAATTCATTATGCGACTTTTTTAAAGCAGGTGGTTTGTCGGTTTCTCCTTGGCTTGTCCATCCTTTGAGTAAAATTTAAAATCAGAAATTGCGTTTGGAATTATTGTGTTTCATACATAGGGTAATCTTTTTTCCGTTGATATAAAATTCCAAATTACTTTTTGCTAGAAGGTCTTGACTCTTCATACATAGGGTAATCTTTTTTCCGTTGATACTATATCAAAATGTAAATTTTCAAATTTCCTATAAGTTTAAATATTTATGCTAATAATTTTAGACGAGATGTGATAAATAACATTAGTATTTGCAGCTATGAAATTCTAACAATTTCAATTGTTAATGCGATGATCTTGCCGCCTTGACCAACTTTCTTGGAAATTAATACTAATATGAAAAGTTGCACTGTTTTGTATTTGCAGCATGTTCAATATTATGGCAAAATAAAAGCGAAAGTGAAAATGAACGCAAATGGTTTGTTTTGTTCGTATGTTAAATAACAGACGTTGCATGGCTAACTTAGCATACTTTTTGAGCATGATGATATTTAAGATCCATTGGAACAGAATATTTAACCCATGAACTTCTTAAATATTAAAGTTACTTGTGTTCGTGCGTTACAAATTGCTTGTCTGAAATATGCGGAGAACGAAAGCCAGTTGATTCAATGACTGAGATATTGCTTCTCCTAGACAATTCCTAGAAGTGCCTGTCATTTTAAGTTAAAATAATTTACTTTTGAAATCATACAATGTCAATCAAAAACAGCTTCATGTATTTTTGAATTTACCAAACGGAAACTGTAAAAATCTTGATAGAATCATTGCTTTCATTATAAAGGTTTCTTTGGCATCCATTTGCACATAAGTAGATCATTGTTTAGAGATAGACGTGAGAAAAAAGATTCTTTGAACTACTGAAGTGGTCAATTGTTAAGTTTCTTTGAATGTTTATCGACATCATTGGTCTTAAATATTTCTCCGTGTCGCACATGAAATGCAAAAGACACACAATCATAACGTCTATACATAGGGAAAATCTTCCTGCTATCAAAACGCACTATTTCTGTTCCTGTTGCCTGTGGATACCACATCCATTTTCCTTCGTTGTCTCTCGTCACGACACTGTTTCGTTCATTTATGAGTGGGTATTGAGAAAATTCATCCTTCCCCGCGCTTTCACTGCATACCAGAACGCTGTGCATAACTTTAACTTTATACGCAAAAGTTCCTAATATTCTATACTCGATTTTCTCAGCTTTTCCAACATGTTGTTGATAGGATTCGATTAGCTCATCGATTGAGTAAATAAAGCTATGGGAACATTTTTTACCTTGATTGCGAATAGTATAAGGCAAGAATTCATCAGAAATTCCAAACTGATTCTTAATCACATCTATGTCATGGAGTTTGCGATTATTCACTTCAAAGAAACAATTTTTCATTGATCTTGCAGATTACGGATAGCATTTTCGTCGAATATTGGACTCCACCAGGAGAGATAAGCATATACGCTACCATCACTTGTCTCGTTAATCTTCTTTTTGTCACTTAGAAAGCCTTTAAATCTAATTATATCAGCTTCTTTGCTTGTGTAATGTGCTAGGTTTTTTATTGGGATTGCATATCCTTGCTGTTTGGCAGACTTCAAAACTATCCGTTCATTTGAACTAAGTATTTTTAGTTCAGACTTATGTCTTGAGAAAGGAAAAGGACATTCGTAGTCAGAGATGTGATCGTAAGTTTTGAGTCTACTGAATTCTTCATTCCATTTAGGCAGCCACTCTTGTTGTTGAATGTGACTCATTGGGCAAATGCGTTCTTTACCAGTATTGCATATACCTTCCAACCAACAATAAGTCTTGGTTGAATAGTTTCTAGACGTGTAAACCTTTTGACTGTAGTTAGAGCTCAGCAATAGCAAAACGCGCTGTGTACTTTCTGAAAATGTTGTCTTCGAGGAATAAGATTGAGAGAACTCGAGAGAAACTTGTAAACACTTGTTACGTAGCTTGTTCATTATGAACTGTAACGTCGTCACGATAGACAATGAAAGTTGTGAGAACCTTGTTTACTAAAAATATATAAGTTAAATGTTATCTCGTAGTAGGAAACTCATTATGCTATGAAATTGTTATGTAAATCAAGTTAAAACATACGTGGCAACTTCTGTTGCATGCTACTGATCAAACAATTTAAATAAATTCTACTATAAGAAATATGAGTTCCTGGGAAAATAGTTGTTCCTTAGTGTTTCTGGCATTGGCAGCCATGCTTGTTTAGCCTCCTAAACCGAAGAAAGCAAAAAAAACTCGAAGAATTTTTTCCAGACAAACATATTTGAAAATAGAAACAACAAACACAGTAAATTGAATTTATGGCAATGACGAATAAAATTATAGATAGAATGTTGATGAATATAAGAAGCTTGCTGCGAAAATCGAGTATTTACGTTTAACAAATGAAATACAATAAAATGATTGAAAAAAGTTCCATTCATATTCTTCAATTATTCGACAACCAAGTCAATTCATCGCACAAAACAAACTTTGGTTTCCTAGAGTTAAAATTTGAGCTTCATCAACTACTTCGAACGAAAAATTTTTTTCAACTAATTCTGCCAAATTGATGGATGAGGAATGGGCATTTGCAATCAGTGATGTTGCCATAACAACGTTTGTAGTTACGTGCTTCGTATAATTTTTCCTAATTACATGTGCATGCAATTCATTATTGGATTTTTAAAAAACAGGTGGTTTGTCCGTTTCTTGTTTGATTAAAAAATTTAATATATGAGATCTGTCGTGTTAAAGTAAGAATTTGTTCGAACTAGTCGAACGACGTATGTAAATATTTGGTGATGTGTCGAAAATGAAAGCTATTAATTATAGAGATCAATATCTATACAAATTCATACAAACGGTAAATGTTATGTCGTTTTGAAATAAGCGATTTACAATTAGTAGCATGCGATGTCTATTCATAAACGGCTTTAATTTTTTTTAATTTCACGAAAAGCTCATTGCAAACTTATGTTAGCACTTCGTTTTCATCTTAATAGATTCTTTTAAAGAAGTTTAGCTTTCAAACAGATCACTGTTTTGGTTATTAACAGGTTAAAACGTGCTTTGAATAACTGGTATCACTGAATTTCGGAAAAACGAAAGAATAGTCACGAAACACAGCGGAGGTTCCAAAGTTGCTTATAATTTCATCCATGTTGGGGATGTTCGGATCAACAACACCAAAGAAACAATTTTTCTTATAATTTCGCAGATCATTAACTGTCGTATGGAGGGATGCTAGACTCCACTATGACAGATAAACGTATACGTCCCCATCGCTCGTCTCGTTAATCTTCTCTTCCCCGCCTTTAAACCCATTAGATCGTAATATGCCGCACTTATTTGATGTGCAATGTACCAGGTTTTCGATTGGGATTCTATGTCCTTGCTGTTTAGCACCCAGTAAAATATTCTGTTTGTCTTTGTGAAGCTCACTGAGAGTTGGTTCTTGGATCTCATCTGGATAAGAAAAAGGGGATTCGTAGTCTGAGACGTAGATGTGCTTTCCACCTTTCCAACTTCATATTCAGGATTCTTCCACTCGCTTTGCTTAACATGATTTCCTGGGCAAATAAGTTCTTTACCATGCTTGCCTATACCGTTTATCCATGTTTTTTCCTGATTCTGCCATGTGAAAGAAAATGCGAGTCAAAGAAGATTGGGTAAAACTTATTATAATCTCTAATTTTAAATTCAAAGTACCTTTACAACTATGCCATTAGTTATGAATTTAGTAAGAAAAAGATTTAAGCAATTGATGAGTTGTGTTCTAATTTATTTTGCTTAGTGAATGCAAATGCAATACGACAAATAATAGCTTGGTTTGCGTGCTTTTAAAGATATAGTCATTGAGGAGTGAGGTGGAGAGATTAAAAGAGGATGTACTTTTAAACTAATATGTACACAATAGGTTTGCATTAAAGATGTACTATAGGATGTACAAATCAAATCCTTAAGAAGCTTTTATAGTGCTCTTCAAGCCTAATTTTATTTCATATTGATCACTGCATACAGCAAACTACTTCTTATTTTTAACCCAGGAGGAATAATTGTTTATATCGAAATGTTGCTGAGCCTGGCGAATTTTTTTTGCGTGACAAATGTTTACTTATTGACTAACAGCAGCCAGTATACTGATTGGCTTCTGCTCACACGGAAATAATGTACGTCTTCCTTCAGAGTTACGTATATAGTCAGGCATAAACTGTAACGACGTACTCGTGAGAAGAGATCATGCCTTTACAGTTGGTATTCAGAACAACTTCAACTGATTCAAATGCGTGTAAATGTCATCTGTTGTTCTAAGAAAGTAGGTAATAGTTTCATGCATTTTTATTTACGTATATAAAAAATCAGACAGTGTTTTATAACTGGTAAATGATGAAACAAAACTATTGTTGAAGAGCAGTATGGATGAATATGTTTCATTTTGGCAGATAATGTTTCATTTTGGCAGAAACACATTGGTAAGCAGACTCCATCCTGTCACGACAGGTATAGTTTATATAATAGAACCTTTTGATCTCATTATTTATTTGATTTACTACGGATGAAAGAGAACTTTCTTGAAAAGCGACTTCTCAACGATTATTTTACAGCTTTCATTTATTTTTTCATGCTTACGTAAAACATGCGTGTAACGTGTCACACTTGTTATTCTGTTGCAGAAAATTGTCGAGTCAAATTTTTTTAGATGAGGACTCTTTTAAAAAGCTTCTACTTAGTTGCATGAGCTGTACCCATACGGTTTAATGACACTTTTAATCATGATGCATCTAATACTTCTTTGTTGCATATATATAATTGTTGGTTCCTTTTAACTACTGCATCTGCTAAAAGATCTCATTTTATGGAAAGGTTTCTCACAAGTTATTTTATATTATTACATTTTGCTCGATGTGCACAAACAAATTAAGGAATTCGATTTGGCATTTGGCAGAAAAATTTTTTAAAACGTGGATAAGTCTTATCAATATTTTTATGACAAAGGATATGTATTATTTGTTTTTATGAGTCATTAGCATAGTAAGGTAACTTTAACAGTAGAAAATAATTCGCACCAACGTTGTGAGCCCTTTTCACTAGACAAGTACCCTGGAAGTTTATGCCCCCTCCTGCAACTTAAACAGGTTTCCTGCGCCCTTGGCAGAATGTTTAAATGACGTTGTAAACACGTGAAAGTAAACGCATCTAATTTTGTTTTGTAAGCTGACATTACAGACCGTTTAAAATTCCTCGGAAACTGGATGGTTCCCGCGTTCATTAATTGGAAAATTTAGTACAGCTGTAAAAACATAGTATAAACGATGAGTCACACTCCAAAAGTTGTGGGTGAATAGATACCAGCACTTACGTCTTCCCAAGCTCCTGGTTGTTATTGCGACTTTCCTTCTCCAAAATATATAAAAAACGAAAGCTAAATTGATCATATGAACTATGTGCTTGATTCCATTTATTAAATTGCTATTGAAATTTCTAAACTATTGAAATACTTGTTTGAAGTTCCTGTTGTAAGTTAAGCAGTCTATACATTATAGAAATCATGCGTTGCTCGTGCAATGGCGGTGTGTGGCGGTCTGAGTTTGTCTTTGTCACTGAGATTGTATTTCATCCAATGTGTGCGCATTTTCTACACGTTATAACAAACCAAGTGTGTAGTAGCAATATTTATAAACTGTCAAACATACATATGATGTGTTTTATGGGTCTAAAGAAAATATTATAACGTACGCTTCTCGACGAGTTGATGTGTACAAATTTTAATTTCCACAGACCTTTATTACCTACAAATGATGATTACTCAGTATACTTTGTGAATGTTTGTGTTTCTTTTTGTCTCTCTTTTCTACTTTATCCCACGTCATACCATCTTATCCCATATTTACTATCACGTTTTCATCCCACCATGTAATTTAATATTATGTAAATAGCTATTATATATATATATACCTCTATACTTGTAAGTTAATACTCGTCTGATGATGTCTTCAGAGTCAAGACGAAACGTTACACTTATAAATAAATATTTTTTTATATGTTATTTTGTATTAAATGGCTCTTTTAAAAGCACTTTGCTGGGCTCTGATATTTATATTAAGAATTCGCTTTCCGCTCGGTATATCCCTGGTCACAATGATGATTAACTTTAAAATTCGTAGGTCGCTTGGAAATGTTCTACTATCATTAAGGTTTACTCAGCTGATTTCTCAATTTTGTTTACAATTTACAAAGCGATCACTGTAAAATCTTGATCAGAATTGTGTCTTTGAACTTGAAGATTTCTTCCGCATCATTTGTCTGTAAATAGATTATTGTTTTGGATAGTAACGTGATGAAGCTTGCTTTAAATCACTGGAAATCTCCGATTATATTTCATGTAAATGTGTTCCCAAGTTATTGATATAAAATATCTCTCCTTCTCGCACATGAAAGGCAAAGACAAACAATCATAACGTCTATACTTGGGAAAATCTTCATGCTATCAAAACGCTTGATTTCATCCTTTCCTGTCGCCTGTGGATACCACTTCCATTTGCCTTCGTTATCTCTCTTTACGACGTTGCTCTCTTGTATGTGTGGTATTGAGAAAATTCATTCTTCCCCTTTCACTGCATACTAGAACGTTGTATTCTACTTTTGTTGTGTATGCAAAGGTTCCCAATATTCGAAACTCCATCTTCTCATCGTCAATGTAATCTTGATAATATTCAAGCAAATCGTCGATTGAATACTGAAAGTAATGGCTACATTTTTGCCTTGTCTGTTCTTAGAATACACGCATAGGAGATTCCAAACTGATCTTTAATGTCATTCCTTATGTTGATATCGTGATCAAAGCATTTAAGAAACAATTTTCCATGTGATCTTGCAAATTATTGACATCATCTTCTTCAATGTGTGGAGCCCACCAACACAGATCAGCATAGACGTCCTCGTCGTTAGTCTCGTTGATCTTTTTTTCTCCTCCTATAAAGCCGTGAGAGGTAATTACACTATCCTTATTATTTGTGCAATGTACCAGATTTTTGATTGCGATTGGATATCCTTGCTGTTTGAAAGACTGCAAAATATCCAGCTCTTCTGTGCTGAGCTCGTCGAGAATTGGTTCATGGTTACCATTTGGCCATGGGTAAGGAAAAGGGCATTCGTAGTCTGATATGTAGTCGTACTCCCAATTCCATCAAATCCTTCATTCCATTCAGGATTCTTCCACTCTTTTGTTGTACGTGTCGTTTTGGGCAAATACGTTCTATACCGCCACTGTTGCACATACCGTCAATCCATTCTATCTGTGACATTGCCATGGCTAAACTATTTCACAATGTTCAATGATCTTGTGTTGATACAATTCCTAAACAAGTTACGTGCATCCTTAAAATATGATCCTCGAGGTGTGGTTGAGAGAAAATGAGAAAAGTTTATGAGCTATAGGATGTACCAACCAATTCTTTTAAAAGCTTTCACGATGTGTTTCCACTCACATTTAAAATTTATTAATACTTGCACCGATCTAATCTCGTTTAATACAAGTTTTTTTTCAAGACATTTAACTCTGAATGGAAAATAATATTTTCGTATTTTCTCCCTAACTGACGATCATTGCTTAGCGCCACATGAATGTTTTTTATTGGTCTACAGAAGCGTTTATATTGACATTTGTCTACACGGAAGTAATATACGATATCATTTTCTAAGAAGTCCGATATGTTAACACACATGTAGTTGAATTTTTTCAACTATAAAGTCATATGTTGGATTACATAGTTTATTTTCCTAAAATAAAAACAATACAACCCGTGCGTTGATTGGTCTTTCGTTGTGTTTGCATTAGCTTGTACAGGTCGATATGATCTGAAATAGAATTTACAAATCAATCATCAATGCTCGTTGAAATACAAACACATTTGTTTCGCATTAGTGTTGCTTTATAAAAGAAATAAAAGATTTTTTCTATGCTTGCACTGGCATACGCAAACCTCGGACATGTTCTGTGAAAACTCTCCACCTGCGGTCGACCTGCACTTATCTAATCTCTAGTGCTCCCAAACGTACCTCGGTTTAGACACTAGTATCCCGAAGGTGTGAGTTCAAATCTCGTCCAAGTCACAAGTTTTTCATGTGCATATTAAAAAACCGTGTTAGGATTTATATATTATATATTAGACACCGTACGCATTTTCGCAAACGAATAGTTGGATCGAGTTGCAAGACAACAACAGAAAAATTGGATTTCATTGCGTGCTACGACTTGCCCTACTGCGAGTTTCATCTTCACTCAAACAAAACTGTTTTCGTCAAATATGCAAATCAGATTGTAGATATAGTGTTTAAAATTAGCATATATTTCTTGAACAATTTGATGTATAAGAAAGAACCTGTTTAAATTTATAAGTTTAGTATGCGCTCTCGGTCATAATACCGTAGTTGTGTTTAAACGATATGGCAACGAAATATCCACAATGAACCAGTAGTCAATGAGACAGGGAGTTGATTCAATGTGATATATTGTGATTGGTATTCACTAAAATATTGATACAAATTGTAAATGTCTATGTCACGTTTTGAAAATTTACATCTCAAACTATCCATAACGATGGAAATCAGCTTATATGCTTTCGTTTACAATTTATTAAACAATCACTGTAAAATCCTTAACTGAATTATGGCTACAAACTTAGAGTTTTAGATACAATTAATGAATTTTCCAAATCATTGGTCTTAAATATCTCTTTTCTGGCACATGAAATGCAAAAGACACACGATCATATATTCTATACTTGGGATAAATTTCACTGCTATCAAAACGTATAATTTCACCCCTCCTCGCCTGTGGATACCACATCCATTTGCCATTGTTATCTCTCTTACGACGTTGCTGCTTGTATGTTTAGGTATTGAGAGAATTCCTTGCATAAAATTCATTCTTCCCTGCACTTTCACCGCATACTCTACTTTACTTGTACTATACTTTTTCACAATAGTTGTAACTTGCTGCAGTTTTGACTTTTTGTAATGCCTCAAAATTCTCTCACGTCGCTGAATGTCGGTTAGCCCGGGGACCATGTAATCAGCCTCTTAGAAAGTATAAATCACGAGAAGGAGGTTGAGAAAACACGGAGGATGTATTTGTCAACCAAGATTAATAATAGAAATTTTTTCAGTGCGTTTTCAGCTCTCTATATTTTTTAATTCATTACAACATGCAGGGACCTATTTCATATTTGATACAAGTTTTTGTAACTCGAAAGGAAAATAGTAATTTTTAGTTTCTCTTAAGCTAGGCAAGCATTACTTTTAGCGATGGGTATTTTTCTTAATATAAGTGTTCGCTGATTGGCCGACATCAACCCTGTAGATTAAGTAGTAGATCTTGTCAACTTGACTTGATATTAATATCTTGAATTGATGTTCCCAACAACTTCAACAAGAGATCTACCTGAACTTTTAGTTAAACAATAGGAGAGCTCTATATCAATAATAAGCTAATCAAATGAAGAATTTAAAAATATTTTTAAGACTGCATTCGTTACGATTGGTAACCAGCAAATCAAAATGGCATATAATGTTTTCTGAAACTCTCAACTTGAGAAAATCTCTAGGAAACCTCAAGTTAACTCCAAATCAATACAAAGCATTTCGTGAGCATATAGGGATGTGTTGAATATTGGTAACACGATTAAAATCACCATAAAAATGATTAATTTCTGTCTATTGTTGATAAACGTTATGGCGATATTATATTTACCGACGACACTAATTGTAAAACGTCAAATCATTGTGTCAGTCAATTTGTACAAATGTTATAATAATGCCCTGATTGTGCCTTTACGCTAGCAAAGGCAATTGCGCAAGAGGAAAGAAGTATAATTTGTACTTCAAAATTTCATATCGAATGGCGACATTACTGGGGAAGTTTTATTTTAATACTTGGCGAGTTTTACCATTTAAACACCAATATCGTTTGGGATTATATAAGAAAGAGGTTTGTGCACGACATGTTGCTTCTGACTTTTAAAGATACAAATATGTTTTGTCTGAAGGGACTTGTCCAGTTGTCCTGAGTTAGATTACATAATTTGTCTTGAGCAAAGATTTCTTTGCTTCGCTATCACACATCAACGCTTGCCTATCTCCATATGAGCACTCTTGTGTTTATCTACAAGTTTGGAAAACTTTCAATCTTGCCCTTCATTGATCTTAATCGCGTTTTCTTGATTGCATTCCGAAGTCAGACTCAGACTGTCAGGGTCCTGAGTTGGCTACCTCACCTGTCGTGCTTGGCTTAGGTGTATGTAATTGAATTTTGAACAGCTAAAAATTAGATTTTTGGTTTGGTAAAACAGGCCTCAAAATAGCTTTGCTGTAAGATGAAGTCAGTTTTTGACATGTCTTTTGTTGTGGTAATATTCAACCAGAAACGTTTGAAATTTATTCATATGACGTTTTAAATCAAGTATATCTTTGTGATTGGGCCTGATTGGCGATGCCTATGGATTAAAGATGAACAAAATTAAAGCATGGATGTTCTTCCCCTTATCTTTTATTTTACTAAATTGATAAAAACTGACCTCCCTTAGTTGATGTTAGGATACTTTTTAATCTACACATTTATAAAATGGTAGTTTATAATCATTATATAGGTTGAATGTTTGCTTTTGAAAAGCCAGAAAGCATTCTATGCCAATGTTATTGCCCGAAATGAAGAAGAAGCGGATAGCTGAAAAGATTAAATCAAATCTCAATGCTTCAAAATTGAAGTAGAAGACATATCAGGCATGCTTTGAATTAACCATATTTTTGAGTAAAGGTATTTTACCAACAGGCATCTGCTTTGAGATTGCATTTTATTGCTTATGGCTTTAACTGTTTTCAGCAAATGTAAAAATCTTAATTTTTCTACACAAGATTACTTAAGAGTTTGGACTCGAGACTTGACTCAACTTGTCCCTATCAAAACTGTCAGGCAATGTACCTGACCTTTTAGGGGTCTTGAAGGAGCTAGGCATTTAACATGCTTTTTACATTTGAATCTACAGTATGTTTGGACAGCAGTTTCAATGAAAAGGTTTGTAACACTACTTCTGCACTTTAGGTGGCTGTGGTTCCATGTACAGAATATTAGTGGAGTCGTCAGAATTTGAGGGAAAGCGCACCATACAACAACACAGAATTATAAATGATGTAAGTCTATGTTTTTAAAACTAGTTTTTGGCTAGCTTTTTCTTTTGTTATTATCTTTCCAGTAGAATATAAAATCATTGTTCATCAAGGCATTTTATACAGCTGTATTGCAGTCTGTTTGGGATGGTCAGTTCTCGCAAAAACTGACTTTGCATTATCTTTAAATTGTGTTTCATGAAGTATTGAGGAAATACTGATGGGAAAGTGTGCCCTGAATCAGATTGGTTGAACAATCTTATAATATTTAAGTTATAGCAGTTATACTTGCCAGGGGCCTCTTTTCACTTTGGTTGCCTGGACCAATTGATCAGTTCATTATAATACCTGTTCAAATGTGAGCTGGGATTATTGTTTAACATGATAGTCACCTCTGCTGCTGTAGCCATAGGACTAGTTAACATTGATATTTTTATACTTATTTTCAAGCCATGCAAAATTTTCACTTGCTTCTTCTCTTGCTTACCCATTTCGTTTTCTCAAGTTTCTTTTCTCCTCACCTTTTCTACTTAAGACAAAACTAGAGCTTAAAACAAACTTTTTCCTTAGATATTGAAAGATGATGTAAAAGACATGCACGGACTGACATTGCAAACATCTTCTACGAAATAGCTCGCCGCATACAGTTGGCTGCTAGAGAATAAGTCTCAAGGTCATGCTTAGCTCGCTTAGCCCTTATGGTTTCACACACCGAAGTTTCGTATGAAGTGTACTTATTTGCATAAAGCAAAATGCGAAAGCCGCTGTTTTAGAATCCCAAAATGAAGTTAACCAAGCGCGCAAAGCATGACTTTAAGACTCATAATTTTGTACTTGAACAGTAAAGGGTTTGCCCTAAAGGCTCTCCGAAACTCTCAGATATTCTTTGGCTGCGTTAAGTCAGAAATAAGAGAGCGATGCATCGAAGCTCAAACGAAAAATTCGAAGGTCCTAGTTCTCACGGCACGCCATTGTCATGTCATGTCATGTGTTAATAACTAAATGTATCTTTTTTCACAAAATATTGATGAAATGTTTTCCAAAGATTGATATTTATTTAGAAAATGTTTGCCGCCCTTTTTACTCTCACTAATTAGTAATACCAAATTTTACCAATCACAAATCACGATATAAACTAAAAGCTCCATAATTTGAGTGTCTGATATGTTATCCTTTACGCATGCGTGTGTTTGTGCGTGAAAGCATGCGACAAAACAAATAGCTTTGGAGGCCAATATGTCACTGCACCTTTCTCCTACACAGATCTCTATGATATTCTAACAAAAGACTTAAGTTTGATTTTAAAATAAAAATGTTGTCAAAAAGTATAAGTTGCCAAAGTAAACAAAGATAAAATCCAAGGACCATGTAAAGTTCACCAAATGTTAACGTCATATCTCTTCCAATTCTTTTTGAATTGTGGTCGCTCGTGTTTTGTGTACGGCGCTTACTCAGATAAGCAAGGTTCTTCTGAGGATATTTGGTATGCAGCAGCGTAGACCGTGATGGCATTTTCTTGACTTAACAAGTGCTCCATTGTAACATGAAGTTGCACAGTGTCCAATTACTTCCATCTCGTTATCCATAGGACTGTAGCATGTTGTACAATCCGCTGGCCAAGCTTGTTCACCTAACAGCAGGAGCAGAAGAAACCAGATCCTCTTGTCCATTGTGCGAGCTTTCAAAGTCTTATCTGCGATGGAAAAACGATGATTTTCAATAATTGTATATCGTTCGGGTGTTCATAATGAGCAGCGAGCGAACGAGCTTTCTTGCTGTCCAAGGCATTCGACATTGCGAAAGTTTATGTCTTAAATGGCATTTTGGCAGCTGCGAAGGCTATCATTGATCAATGAGATAATTGATTGAGCAATGAAATAATTGTCAGCAATATGCATTTGCATTTAATCGCGCTTTACATTCAAAAGCTTGCACGAAATCGAGGCGACCTGTCAACGTGAAGCGCAACGTGGTGTTTGTTTTTATCAATGCACGCTATAATTTTTTTTACGGTATGTGTTCCTGTGGATGAATGCCCAATTGCATTCAAGAGCTCGTGGGAAGTGGAAAAGGATATGGGTTTTAAATTTTTTTCCCTATTTCATGCAAATATTACCAAATGCAGACTCTGCTCTTAATTTCTCAACTTTTCAAGTCTCATCTCATGAAATTTGTAAAAATTTATTCACACAGTTAGAGTCGTTTAAAATATGGTCATCGCTCTCTATATGTTTAGAGAAATCAAGCACTTATTTATTGTCATTGTATGGATAGCTATGGACATCTACAGAATACAAATAACTAAAGCTAATGTTGCACCTAATGTTGAACACTGAAAAATGGTCTAATCTCCACACATGGTGTTAAAGTAACATCTCATTTTTCAAAATTAGAAGACTTATAATGTGACGGTGGCCTATTACATTGAGTAATATTGGATGAATTTGGAATTTTCCTGAGCACCTCCTTATTTTTCATTGCACATTTAACTATGTCGCTTTTATTTTACAGTTCATTTCGTTTTGATGCGTTGAAAATACGTCAATTCGATAAAACTGAACTGCACATATTAATCTTACTCTCTGATTAAGTTTATTTTAATCGTCGAGTGCACGAACTTAATTAATTAAGTAATTTCAAAATCGGCAACAATCCCAAAAACTCAAAGCTTATACCTCAAATTGCGTTGATGATGGCAAATTTTACGACATTTGAGATGTCCCAAGAGGTACAAGGTACAAGCATGTTACAAATAATCGCTTGATTGTTCAAATAATTAGCAACATGTGAGAAGATGTTTGCACGATTATCAAGATTCCGTAGAGCATTATCAGATTGGACTACTGCTGCTGTACCGGCTGCTACACTGGCTTTTCATGCATGATCTTTTACAGCAATTTTTCCGTTTTGTAAAATACGATTTTTAAGCACGCTGGTCGTAAAATCAATGCTGTGACGTCCTTTGTGCGGACATCAATAAGCGTCATGTAAATTGCAGAATACATTACTAAACATTACCTTGCTTCGTAAGAAAATACTTAAAATGAAGATTTCTTCTTTTCTCGAGTTACTTGTCAGCCGAGTGTCAAGTGAACTCTCTACTTGAGCGGTCGGTAAGCGAATGCCGTGTGTCCACCGTTCTGCATCCAATATAGTGTGAGTCCATTGCAATAATTCCATTCATCTTTCGACGTCAATTTAAATTTGAAATTCCAGTCAGAAGGTGCAATTACATATTACATACTTTGATGACTCGCCGGCCTCACGTTTAGCGTTTGCAGATTTAAGAATGCTTTCGAAAGTCGGAAGAATCGAATCGAGAATTCTCGATTTTCATTAATTTTCCTTCAAGTTTTCTGCGGGAACATATTTTGAGATTATGAAATTTCAAAAATCAGTCGAGCACAGCTGGATACATAAATAAACACCCCCTTCCAAAAACGTACAAGTGCCACCTCATGGTGTCGAATTTAATTTTTTGTGAATGTTTATAATGCTAGCAACAAAACTCTGTGGGTGTGTTAAAGTTTAGGCACCAATTATTTTTAATTAGCATAGGAAAATATCCATCTTGTAGTATAATTATCAATGAATATCTGTCCCGTGTGCGTCATGTTTGTTCATTTGCGTTTGACGTGTCGTAGTCGTGCCGAATAAGAATTTAAATTAAATCATGGAAGGCCGGTGCGGTTAGACCTCACCTGTAAACTTTCCATGACAAACGTTCCCTTCCCACCAGGAATTGTACTTAAAATGTTATTTTAGTCGGGTTTGCAATTGTCAACGTGAAGTAAAGAGTAAATCACAATGGGGAAGCATTAATTAGATCAATATATACTGAAAATTAATCATTACGCATTCGAAAAAAAGTTGCAGAAAATGAATGATCGTACTAGGTGGAAGATCGACGTTTATAATAATACCAAAGTCAACAACACGCAATGAAGAAATGAAGCGTAAGATTGTTTTCTATCCTTAATACCTTCGCCATTGATGGATCATGTGTTGTGTGAATATATATGTCTGCGTGACGATTTTAATGTCGATGTCTGACTCCGGGGAGGTCAAAAGCTACCCGAACACAAGCATTTGCGTTTCCCGTTCGTGCTTTGCATTCTTCGTAGAAAAACCCGCCATGTAGAACTGAGTGTTGAAAAAAGGAAACGACACAAACATTTTGAAATGAAGAAATTTTGGCTTTGCAATATATAATTACCATGCTGCCAGCATGTCGTGGGTATAATATGCCACGTGACTGTAACCATGAACCGTTGTCTCGGATTAAAGAATGATGTCTCAATAATTAATTAACTACAATATTACACAAAAATGCCCAATTAAATAAGATCAAGACTTGACTGTGTTAATTTAGGAAGATGAAGGCGATTTAAGCTATTACGGATCACCCGTTCAACAACCTGATCATGAAGAACAGGCTGCACTGCAAAGTGCAAACTGCTAAAAGTCAACATTGATTCGTACATCGATTGACAAACGTGCGCAAGGATTGTTTTCTCGCAATCAATCAAATATGACTATATCTTTA